CCTCGACGAATTTAAGCATGCATTGCCGCCAGGGGCGGTTCGACCAACTACTAATTTGAACTCTCAGTGGGTGATTGTGAACCGTGAACAGGTACTATGACCTTGATTTTTTAATCATTTTATTACCCGTGTGCACATATTCAATTTCATCAAAAACAATCACTTCGTTCATGGTGCTTCGAATTTTTTTTGCAAAAGAGTGTACATAAGTAAAGGGGTAATGTCTTCGTTCCAGAATTTGCTACTGAGTTTTCGAAAAGTAAACATGAATTTGGGTCCCCACAACATGCTTTTATTATTTTTGCAATGGCGGTTTGTCTGGATGCATGTCTGTATGTGTGTGCACTGTTGATGATGACGAAGCACAAGAACAAATAGTAAATTTGAAAACGGCTATTGCTTTATTTCTTACTTATACCAGAGAGCTTAGTAGTCACTATTCAGATGTAGTTCCAAAGCTAACGAGCATTATTTAATGATGCATCTATAGCTCAGGGAATATGTGCAAATTAAAAAGAATTTAGATTGGCTAATGCAATAGAAACATTAGAGAAAAAAATTAATTACGGTATTCGTGTTAAAGTTTTTATTTTATAAATATATTTTAAACACTCACTTTTGTTTAATTAAGAAACAATTAAATTATATGTTAATCAACTGCCCAATAAAATACTATTTTTAATAAAAGAAATTAACTGGTATATATTTGATTATTTTGGCTAAAATTTAGAGAAACCAGTTTTAACGCAAGAACAGTTGTACCTAATAAAATATAACCCAGAATTTCGTATGGCAGACTGTTTTCTCAATTAGAACAATAAATTAGATTTTTGTATACAAACGATCAACCAGAAGTGATGCTTTACTTTAAAACCCTTTAGCGTTTAAAACATGGAATTGGTGTGAGGTCATCTGCTGGCCACATCAGATTCTTTAAATCCTGATTGAACACAACTGTCGGATTGTGCTATGTCAGTTTGATTATCCATGATATGGAAAAAAATTACAGGAACTTTATCTTATAACGTATTATAAAAATTATTCTTGAAAACGTCATATTGCAATACAATATCTCGAAGTGTGTATTATCAACGTTTCATAAAGTATGAACGAAAAAACTTATAAAATTCATGTGTCCTTATTGAATTCATAAGAAAATTCAAACGTTGAAGATTATTAAAAAGAAAAAAAAAGAACTTGCAGAAAATCTTAGTATGAATATTTCAATTTTAACATCTGAAACGTTTTCTAATTTTAAGATTTAAAATACAAAATCTTATATTTAAAATGAGTTTTCAAACTAGCAAAGTCAAATGTATATAAAACAGCTTGCTATGATGTTATTTCTTCCTCAATTAAAGCAAAGACTAATAATTCAGGATGTAGCAGTTATCTTATTTTACTCAATCGCTTGCGAACGAAACTTGTAATAATTATTTCCTTTAAGTAGCTACATTTTCTATTTTCCAAAGCACTAAATCTCCGGAATGAAATTTATAAACGCTTTCAAGAGATTTCTCTACAAGTGTTAAAAACAGATAACTGTAGTAAATTCCGGTTTCAATCAATGTGGCATCGCCAAAGTAAGTTTTAAATTTAGTTTATGAATATTCATTGCCTGTAATACCCTTATATATTGTAACTGGTTTAGTAAACTTGTGAGATTTTCAACAAACTTTAATTTCCATTGCGGAAAATAAATATTGCAATTTACTGCAACGAAAAGATATTGAAATAACCCATTAGTTTTAAATTTTGCTCTGGGTGTTTTATTTCATCCTCTAAAATTCTGTATGCTAAATTCCTGAATTTGCAGACCTGATTGTTAGTCCAAAGAACCAGAAGCGCATTTAGTTTCGAAACGGCATTCTGCTACGGCTCGCTATAAATGCCCGTTTCACTTTTCAAATTGTTGCCACCAAACGTCATCGCCCTGTATTGTATTTAAAAAACTTTAAAATAATGAAGAATCTCTATGAACGTATGTATGTTCCTCGCATTGTGAAAAAACAACGGTACCTAGAGCCATCCAATTTTGAATAATGTAGTCCTTCACCCAAATATGGCCACTTGAAACCCCTAATCTTGAATTTTGAATTTTCTGTATCATTTATTTCATATTTTGTTTCAAAGTGAACAGTGGCAACACGGCACGAAAAAAATACATTTTTACCTACAGCACGCAAGACCGTCTATCGGAAATTCTAAAGATATGCTACTTTTAAATATTTTTAGCCCAAAGGGAGATCAGTCAAAATGATCTCGAAATGTGTACGTGTGTGTAAATAAACAATGCCTGTTTAAGCACAAAATAAAATCTGAAAGCTTTCAGTTTTTGTTATTATTTTAGAAAGATGATCTGCTTGTTACTTGCCAATATATCATCTAACTGTCTGAAACTGAGGAATGATTAGACATTGGATATTGTTTTGAAATCTAAGAAATCAGTGGGGAAGTTTTCCTGCCTCAAACTTTGCTATTATTTACAGTATAACAATGATCAACTTAATAAATATATTACAAACAAAACTAACAAATATATTTTTACTAATATTCTGACTGCCTTAGCAAAACACCTGGGCTTGAGTTCCCGGATAATGCATGAATTTAAATTATCTGTCCCTTCATATGAAGCAACGGTGGCGCACCTATTAGGTGTCTCCATACTAAAGTGACTACTATTTTCGGCCTTGGTAGTGGCTAACATCTATGACGATTTGTGCCCGCCATTAAGAAAAAAAGTACTAATATTTATTTATAAAATAGTCAAAAATGGAATGTATAAACCAGTACATGAAAAAAATAGCTGCCTAGAGTAGAAAAAGACATTAATATACGTTGCAGTAGGAAAACAGTTAATACTGGGCAAAATAATATTGACATTGAACACTAAATAAGATTTCAAATAGACGTAATGCTGTTACGTCTTCAGAAACAAAACAAAACAATACAAAACATTTTTACGTATAAGCAATTTGATGAGGATTTGGTTTAGACGTGAAATACATTACGTATATTTTAACTCTTTCTAATATTTGAGGGAAGAAATCTACTGTATCAAGAACTGCATATTTCTTCCGAAAATTCCTTGGTATTTTTATCTCTCATAATAATTAATTTAAAAGTCCCTTACTAATATTTGTTATGGAGCACAATGAAGCAAAATTTAGTAAGAGATTATAAACAACATCTAAGTGCAAAAATTATCTGTATGTTCATTAATCAGGTATTTTTTCTAATATCCAGAGCCATTTGTTTTGCTCCTCGGTTCGTGTTCTTTCCTCTCAGTGATAAAAGCTTACTTGTACATGAAAGCCATATTTTATGAGCCATTCCATTTGCGTTAGGAGAAAAGGGATTAGTTTAATTTTCCAAATTTCAAATAAAAGTTCCAATCTCATCTTTGTTATTTCCCTCCGTAATCTGCTTTCGATCCACATATAATGATCTGAGATATTAAATCACTTTTATATCATCTATCATTAAATTAATTTATCCACTCCAACATAACCACAAGCACGCTGTCATAAGGAGCTTTATAAATCTAACATATTATATTTTACTTAAGCCTAATTATAGATACTGTATAATACGGCGTATAAAGCTCACTTTTAATACAAAAAATAAGATCGAAATTTACGGCTGCCTTTATACGCAAGATATAAAAATGATAGATTTAAAAATGAGGGAAAGATGAGCATACAAAAATTAGATTTCTGTAGATGAGCTGTTTATTTAAAAGAAATGATACAGCTTAAAAACTTTCGTTATCGGATAACATGCAAAGTTCGTCATATTCGTCTTCCACTATATTTTCAGGCATATTATCAAATTTTATTTCATTTTCACCATCACTATTCTGATCCATAAATAAATAATCATCTTCTGTTCCATCTAAATTGTTAGATATACTGAATTTTTTAATGACTTTTGAATTATGTTCGATTAAATTTCATTCCATGCTTTTATCATCCACTCAGGCATTATTTCTAGACTGGCATGACACATTTGCCTCTTCTTGTAAATGTTTTTTCATATTCTAACATTGATGTATTTCACTGTCATTTTAAATTTTCTTTGAATGTTTTATTAATACACTATTAATACACTACACTCTTTCAACAATTACTTCGTTTTAACCGTTCGATGGGATATAAGCATGTCCCAAACTAGAAGAATTTCTGAATTCTTCAAGGTTCATACCATTTTCGTCCATCCATCTTTTTTCACGGACGTGAATGGAAACACCATTTGGGAAATTACATTTTGGCACCGTCTTTCATTTATAAATAACCATGTGTTTTAATTTTTGTACCGTCCGCTAAATGAGAAAGCAATACAGTGAGGTGACATTTTTGTGACTCTCTTTTTTACGTAAATCATTTTTTCTAACTTTCATATCAATCACACCTACATATTATTCCCTTTATTAATTGACAGTTCAGTGTACCATTGTTCGAAAGCCTGGCAAAAGTCTTTGAATGAATGATTTCGAAAAACAAGAGCATCGTGTATATTTTTTTTTAAGTTTCTTCGTAAAAAAAGTGTGCGTTATAAGGCAAATATACCTAAAAATTAAAAGATGTAGTTTGCAATTCTAGGTGCATGTTATACACCTGTGCGCCTATACGTCTTAATATACGGTACATATGAATTGTTTGTGAACTATATATAATTTGATAGACAATTTTATAAAATCATCACCTCAATATAAAATTGCTATCTTTAATCATAAATTGCAAGGGGTAGGCACATGTCATAAATCGATCACTCCTAATGTGATTTTCTGAATAAAATTCATGAAGCTAAAACAACTTACTCCACTTGTTTACTACTTGATGAAATTTTCCAGCTTATTAGAAACTTTAGCGTGTATTCGTGCTTTCGTGACTAATAAGCATAACCCATTTATTTCACTGTTTATATGACATTTGCATTTTGTTGGAAAAACAATCAATTGATTTGTTTTCAAACCTTTCCCTCTCACTCTAATTTCGTAGAACGTAGTTTCTGTTAGAAGTCATCTTGGCTGCAAAACAATTACTTGAAGAGTAGCTGCCTTCAAGATAAGTATGTATTAATTATTTGCTACTTTTAATTGCTTTTATGTTGAATGTGCTTATTTACATATTTTCATATTATTCTATACGTTATTACGTTACTATGTTAATATGTTACACTTTACGTTATTACGTTACTATGTTAATATGTTACACTTTACGTTATTACGTTACTATGTTAATATGTTACACTTTACGTTATTACGTTACTATGTTAATATGTTACACTTTATGTTATTACGCTACTATGTTAATATGTTACACTTTACGTTATGGCTTTAGTAATGGGGACAATTTCTAATACTTTATCTTTTACGTCTCCTATGTGAAGCGTGTATTAATATTGCTAAGTTCTTGTACTTTTACATTTTCAATTTTACTTTTTGATCTGAAAACTGTAATTTCTGTAGTCATCCTGTCAGGTTTTATACATGAAAAACTGTCTGTAAACGATTTTTTTTACCCACGAAGGACAGTTGTATAATTAAAAAGGGAAAACCCAAGAGAAATATTTAAGCATTTCTTAACTTTTAGCTTCAGAAGTTAGTTCAAATATTCCCCTTACTTCTCAGTTTCTTTTGAGGGGCGAAGGGCATTTTTAACGTATTCAAAAAACTCAAAATAGTTAGGAATTCTTTAATTGTTATTAGACATCATTAATTAAGTGTAAGTAAGCATAGAAAGTAATTCAATCGATATAAAGTAAATGAAATACAAATGTTTCCGTCCAGGAATCATTATGGCACCAATATATTATTACGTAACATAAATATTACCTTGGTTCTAATTCCTATTATAAGCACCTAGTTATCTCAAATTAATAAGGTTTTATTATATGAGCTTTTTCAGTCGCATACCTAAATTGAAAACGGAATGCCACAGATAAAGTGAATAGCTAAATATTTATTGGTAGTTAGTATTTAGTTATATAATAATGAGAATGGTTTAGCTGCATGAGCAATATTACAATAAACTATGCAGCAAGTTTAATAGCTAAGAAGCAAACATAAAATATGTTTTAGCAACATAACAATAAACTAAGCCCAACTCAGTAAACGACAACAGCTGTATATAAAATTTATCAGTCATTCATTTATCAGGTCTGAAGAGATAAATTTTAAATATACTAATTATCGCTAGATCCTATTAGAAATTCGTTCAAACACACTTAAGGGTGCAAGTCTTTAATGACTTTTTCTCAAATTCAATTTAAACTCCCAGATAGGCCTTAGCAACTATATACTGACTAGTCACAAAGAATGTAGACAGGAGGAACAAGTACTACCTAATTGTTAAACGCTATACATCTTTTAAAACAATGTTTTTTTCTATTATATAATTTTATTTATGTATTCAAATCGAAATCAGAGAAATTATATTTTTTACTAAAATAATACATGATATAATAACGATCATGATAAATGTTACCCTTATCATCGAAATATATTTATTTATTGATTTTTCAGCCTTAAATAATAAGAATGTTTTTAAAGATACAAAATTCATCCTTTGTTTTCTAAGCAGCCTCAAGAAGGATCCTTCCGAATGGAAATTTATATTTTCCTTTAGAATACTCTGCGTTGAATACATTTAAATATTCTCGTGGCAATAATATACTTTCTGGAATAATTGCAACAATTCATTATGGATGAAATACTACGAAATACTGAATATTCCAAAAATTCAAGTTAATACTTATCTTATGCCCATGTCGATAGCAGATATAATTCAGATCCTTTTGCTTTCGTTTTTCATATGTGAAAAGCAATTTATTTAAAAAAAATTACGAAGAGATTAAAATTATTTTATGTAGATTAAAATTATTTTATGTAGATTATTTTATGTAGATTCTCAATACATTAGAGATAAATTCATTAAAAAAAGAGATGAATGACTTGCATCCGTGGCTGAGATCAATTTAGTTTTAAATTAGTGTTCCACTACTGAGCTACTCAGAGAAGTTCCTCCTATTTCTTTTCTCTTCTTTAGAATTCTAAGAGATTATAAAACCCTTTTTTTGAAAATTAAAAGAATATTTCAGTTTGGTAATAAGAAAATTCGTCACTTAAAAACGTTTAGCAAGGAATTTAATTCCAATTAACAACTAATTTATTGCCTTTGCAATATAGAACCTAGATTTATGCCTTTCATTATTATTCAACGAATATTTATTTCTAAAAAACAGCTCAAAATTTCGATTTTAAAACATATGTGTACAACTTTCAAAATGTATGATGCACATTTCGGTAGTCTTTTTCAAAAAATAAACCTAGCAATACCAGATAATTTTATTTAGTGGACTTAATTTTCATAATATAATCCACGTCATAAACCTAATCGTATATTATTATAGTTATTATTTTGCAGTTAAAACAAGTCATGTAGAATAATTAAACATAATTAGATCAATAATCAATCAAAGCAGAAAAAAAATTTAAATTTAAAATCGAAAGTAAGAACTTTCTCTTTTTTAAATGTGATATTTTATGGTACAGGATGCTCTTTAAGTATTTCATTACCTTGAAATCAAGAAATTTTCAATATGCAGGTCAAATGTTTTAAGTTGTACATCTAAGTATTAGTGTTTACTTATTATTTATATTCCTTTGTATTAGAAGAGCTCAGTTATGAACAAAATAAATTAAATTGTTTTCCTTAAGCAATAAACCTAAGCAACTAAGAATACTGATTAACTAAGGAATATTTCTGGCAACTAAGGAATATTTCTTAAGAAACTATGAAATATTCCTTAGTTGCCACGGATTGCGAAGTATTCCCCCCTTAAGGTAGATCAACAAATTGTGACTATGATTTCTAAACTTGTATCTATGACAGAATAATTGCAATCTAAAAAATGTTCATTAAATGGTGATACAAATCTTTATAAAGTAATTTAATTTTAACTCCCACAGGCTTTTTTTCCCTTCAGATGGTTTCTTGTCAAACATCATGAGACTTTTCATCGGATTTCTACTGGTCTTATCATTGGCTTTCTTAATATCTTGTCGATATGCATCTTGGGATAAGAAGTTTTTTCTGCAGAGGCCATTCGAAGCAGAAAATGAAGTTTTATTGATAGTTACAATGTCCAGAGGAAGGGAACAGGAAGTATTAAACTGTGAAATAGTAACAAATGAGTAAGTTTTCTTTTTTTAAAATGCGTTTCTCTAAGTAGCATCCCTGAATAAACTGAACTGAAAACTTCAAATAAAAATAAATAAAAAAGCAATGTATCACTTTGATATTGCAAATCAGTGTTTTCTTATACCTTTCAGTTTTTGCCCCAAAAATCTCCGAAACATATAAGAATACTCAACGTAGTTGTGTATTTCTTAAAAACTGCAGCAGCGTGCTCGCTGAAATACTCAGCTAGAAGGCAAAACATGTTTTAGTAAGACTTAGTAAAACCTCTTAATGAAAAATAAAAGTGCATGCCCTCTTCGAAGCGTACTTCTAGAAATATGATTAGATTCAACAAGTGTATACTTAATATACAATAAACTGCCGAAAGAACTTATTACTATACATATTACAAACTGATATATATTGACGTAATACACATTTACATGATGATAAGTTTGTTTTTAAAAAATGGCAAAATGAGAGTCAGTGTGATTTTGTAGTTTAAATTGTTTAGTAGTTTTTACAGTAGGTTTTTTTGCGTGAACGTTAACTGCTGTAGTATTGTATTATTGTTTATACTTGGTGTTACTTGTGCACTCTGGAATATCAGTATCAAATGTACTTTAATGTATACAATTAGCAAATTTTAACTTTCTTCTTCTGCATATATATATTGTAATATTTTCTTATTTAACAAATATATATACCTACTGTTCTTGACATTGGAGTGGCAACGTCATATTTTTGTATCATGTAACTGCTGCGCAGCAAAGTCGTCAGAAAATGTTAAAAAAGTTTTTTTTAAAGAAAATGTAGTAGGGGGCTGGAGTGTGATGCTGTAACGGAAAGAATTCTACTTTAAATTATCTACCTCCGTCAACTGAAAATAAAATTTCTATTTTACTAAGAAGCTCAGTAGTTGTTTTCGTTAAATGCTGCAGAAAACGTTACAATATATATATGTATATGTATACAACAAAATGGCTACACTGATTCAGTCATTGGATATTTGCTCAAGCCTTTGACTTCGATATCATTTTTGTAACTAATGCTACATATATTTTGATTCATTGCAAATCCTGAGAAGAAAGAGACGAAAACACCAAAGAAAGTATTCAAACAGATAAAAAAAATTACTGTGTATGAAACAAATGGTCAAGGTACCATCAGATGCCAGAGCTCTAACTTTAGCTACAACACCTACTATGTTTACCGGTGAACTCACGTGTCCTATTTGGCGAAAGGCCTGCCCAATTTACATGAATCGTATCTCAGGGGGCCTTTCCAATTTCGAGGGTTTCATACCCTTATTTGGAGTCACCTTGAAACATAAAATAAACTAAGCTTTACGCTCAAGCTCATTGAAACACCAAGTAAATACAAATCATGCATTGATTCTGTATTAGTAGCAGTGTCAAAATAAAAGGTGTGATCTCAGTTCTTTCCTTTCAAAGATCTCGTCCAAAACCAATTTTCCCTAATGTACAATGGACATTATGTAATAGAGATAGTTATTAAGATCTGTTACATAAAAAGGATTTCGAGCTATTATACAAGTATTGAACTAATAGACAAGCTACGAATCAACAATGTATATAATTTCTTATAAGTTATTTTTAATTGGCTGCAAAAATAAGTAAGTATTCTAATCTGAGTTTTTAGATCTCATCATTCGGATTTTAAAATAGGCGAATCTAACATTTTTCCCGTCTTCATGTGGAAAAAACAAGAGAAAAAATTTAGTACAGGAATATACTAGATTTTCAACAATTAAAGGGGGTTTAGTGATGTATATGACATTTCAATGCATTGCCAAAATTATTTTAAAAAATCGTTAACACATGAAAAGAATGTTCGGTACTTCAGAGCATTGTGATAAACTGGAATTCTGGTTGTACCAAATGAGCGAAAGGATGACTGGAAATACCATAGTCATGATACTTTAAAACCTTCTTTTATTACTAAGAAACTAGAGTTGGAAATCCTTAGGTAGGTAAACAGGGAGTAAATTAAAAAATAATTTAGGAGAAGAAGAAGAAAAATATAGTTGATTGCAATCGCAGTTTTCAAACTTTGAGATTTTTAGTTACAATGTGGTATACGCAGTAATTTTTAATTTTATCTTTGTCTCTTTTGGAAATTTAGGTAGATCATAAGGGTAGATTTCGAGGATCCCTTGTGGTCCGTAAGACACAAATTAACAAACGTTGGCTTAGATAATTAACTGTGTATTATAACCGCTAGTATTTTTAAAGAGCAGAAACTAACTATACGTTAACAGACCGTGTTATCCTAAGGCTTAACTATGGCAAAGCCTAGAGAAAAGTTGTAAAGGACTCTTTATGAACTCAACATTATTCACAGATGGCACCGACTCGTGCTAACAAAAGACAACACTTTTGGCTTAACTCAAAATATAGCAGGTATTTTGAAACAGAATAGAATAAAATTAGCCTAATGGTATTTTACACAGGTTACTTAACGCACAGGCAGTTCTGACTCGTAAAGGTGGGCGTAAACAACGAGAGTAATAGGAAAGGCTGCTTCAAAATAAAATTAACTGTGAAGTAACTTAAATAAATCCCCACAGTATAATTTTTAATATTTTTAGTAAAATACTTAATAATACCTAAGTAAAATTTCGCTGGGATGAGATTTGAATTTTTTATTATATTTTCATACGTCACTGAAATCTAACTTATTTTTTGTATATCCTTTACCACAGGTTTAGAGATAACAGAAAATAGTAAATACAGGTCTTATTTGCCTCTAAAAAAACCGATTTTGAAAACCCAGGACATTATAAGGCTTTTTTTTTTTTTTTTTTTTTTTTTTTTTTTTGTTAATAATATACCTATTTATCACATAGTGTTATCAAGTATCATCTCTAATTATTCCAAAAGGAAGCTAATTTTAATTGAAAGAACACATAGATCTGTGAGGATTAAAGTGCACTTTATTTATTTATTTCTTATTCACCGCAGGTATACAACTACATTGAGTTTTGACCTGTTCATTCTGTGCAGCCTATGAAGGCCATTCACGGTTTTTAGTACATTAAGATGCTACTGCACCTTCCCCGGGGGCGTGACATTAGAATAAGATGCAATCATTCCGTGGCGAAGTCAAGCTGAATATTCGAAAATTGGGAAATTAGTACTTAGAAAACAAAATCGTCCAGCATTCAAGTCCATGCATGATGCATTCGGTCAGGATAGTAGCGTAAGGTTACTGAGATAGGGTGCGCAGTCCAGCAGGTAATCAGGAGTAGAACCACAGCAGTGGGCGTGGTGAGAGCACACAATGTACAGTCCTTAACACATATTAATTAATTCATTCATTAATTCTAGCCTGCTTCCAGGCAAATAGCCAATTTTGGCAGTAACACAGTACTTGGTTAAATAAGGTTAGATAGAACACAAAACACAACTTTATATGTACACTATTTACATATTTACATCACCACCGCGCATTATGGTGAATTGACCGAGGTCTCTTCACCACGCTGTCCACCATAGCGTCATAATTACCGAGTTCTCTTAGCGTGTGCACTGGAGAATTATCCATTTTTTCGAAGAAGTTGTGCGCTTGCATGAGGATTTGTTCAGGATTGGGCTTTATTTTCAAGTCTGCATGAATGATGCTATTTCGTACAAACCAGGGCGCGTAAGTGATGGCTCTCAAAATTTTGTTTTGAAGGACTTCTAGTTTTCTCCTATCCGTCTTATTGGCAATTGCCCACGCTGGGGCGGCGTAGAGCATAACTGGCCTAATCATAGTGAGATAGATCATGCATTCAGCTTTTAAGCTCAATTTCGATTTCCTACCTATAATAGCATAGAGCGACATGAAAACTCCGTTTGCTTTATTTACTTGGTTGGTTACGTGCTCTTTGAATTAAAGTGCACCGTGAAAGGCCTTGTCTAAAAAAGAGAAAAATTTTATAATAAAAGTCATAGCTAATAAATAAATGTTTTATAAGTAAAACACTGCATTTTCCCTCCATATACAACAAAAATCTATCGAATAATTTAGTGTTCACAAACTGAGTATTTTAGCTTTTTATTAAAAAACAATTGCAGTTCACCAGTTTAATATGTTTTCTCATATTATATAGCTTACTAATATAAACCACGCAATGGATAATTACTTGCACCACTTTATTATTAGTGAGTTTTTAAATTCTATGTTATTTACTAAAAGGGATATTTTCATTTAGGAAAATTATGAAAGATGTTTTAAATTTATCACGAAATCATACAATCAAGAGACCAGGTTCGGAAGATATGCAGGACCTTCTTGAAGATTGTGCGAAATTTAATGTTCGAACGAAACGCAGCGCTGATGAAGGAACTTATTCTGAAAACGATAGACGTAACACTACTAACGATTCTCGCACTGGAAATAACGGAAGAAATAACTCGGGCGAATCTCGCACAACAACTAACAGACAAAACATTTCCAGTCAAACTCGCCCTGGAAATGAAAACAATACCGATGAATATCGCTCTGTAATTAATAGACAAAACAATTCTAATGAATCTTCCACTAGAAATAGCAGAAGAAACAATACCAGCGAATCCAACACAACAGTTAACAGAAACTATATTTCCAACGAATCTCCCAATGGAACTAGTGGCAAAAACAATCGTAACAAATCCCACAGTATGACCAACACACCAAACAATTTCAATGAACCTTTCAATGACAATAGAGGAAGAAACCAAACCAACGAACCTCGCACCGGAGCAAATAAACAAAATAATTCCAAGGATTATCTTCCTACAAAAGATGAACGAAGAAATCACAATGAAACCCGCTCTAGGAACAGCAGAATAAATAATACCAGCGACAAGGAAAATGAATCGGATGCTGACAGATCAAATGACAGTAAGAATAATGCAACTCTAAATAAATCTGCAGAGGATTCTGGGATTGACGTAGCAACTTCTGCCAAAGACACAGAAGATCCTTACAACACCATAACGACCACAGAAGGATATAACGGATGGCCCGTCATCTTTCCAGGTAATTACGAGTATATATATATATATATATATATATAAGGAATTTCATTTTTTACTATAGATTTAATTAATAACAGAAACTTAATTGTTTATGATTGATCTAATCAATAATGACTTACTAATAATGCTATTATTATTGTTAAATAATATAATGTTTACGGCCATAATTAGGCTTACCCATTACTAAAATATTTTGAAGATATTGTGTATCATAAATGGCTTCCTTTCTAGTAGTATCAGACAGTTCATATCAAATAAGATGGTTTTGTCCATTACAAGACGCAATGGAGTTACTTGTTTGCTACTCATATTTCTGCTCGCTGCTTTAAAAGTATTTTATTGTTAGAAACTAAAGTACAATAAATGAATATAAAGTAGCATTAATGTAAACATGACAGAAAACGTTTTTAGACCAAAGGGGCAATTTGCCCAGAAGGGCTATTAATTTCGTTTCGGCATTTTGCGTTGGTTCACTATAAACGGCGTTTCACTTTCCAAATTGTTGCCACCAAATATTAAAGCCCTTTATTATATTATTAAATAATGAAGAATCTGCATGAAAATATATATGTTTCTCGCACTGTGAAAATAAAAGGTACCTAGAAATATCAAATTCTGAATAACGTTGCCCTCCACTCAAAGATGGGCATCTGGAAGTCCAAATTTGGAATCTGGAATTTGTTTTATTATCTATTTCATATTTTGTAAAGCAATTATGAGTTTTTTATTAAAAAATTCAACAATTTAAAAGCAAACAATGACAACACGGTACGAAAATTTTTTTTTTTTTTCTAAAGCGCGTGAGACTGTGTATCGGAAATTCTAAAGATATGCACTTTTAAAGTTATTTTGTGGTGTTGCTGTTGAATTGAATTTTATGGTTTAAGTGCGAAGAACATGATATTTAATAAATGAAGGTAACACAAAACGTTTATAAAACGCCCCTTCGGACGTAATATAAAATCTGAATGCTTTCAGATTTTTATTAAATAAGGCATTTTTTTGATTAGTTCATTAAAGAAAGAAATTATGGAGGTCTATTACATATTTGCAATCATTAAACATTTTCACATTTCGATTATTTAATCAATGCAACTGTTCTGTTCGAATAATATCGACGTGTTGCAATGAAAACCTTTGTCACACATAAATGACCTAGATAAAACTAAAGAATTCAATCGATAGCATACTTTCTAACAATTTTAGATTTAGGCCGACTTTTAGACATCACAATTATTTGACTTGCTTCGAGAAATAAGAAAAAATTCATAAAAGAACTCATGAAAAAATAAATATCCACATATAAATAATTAAAGTACTTTATTTTCTGAGCATTATTTAGTTGTTTATGTTTTAAAAGTATAGGGCACTCAAGCAAAGTAACTTTCAATTCGATGACAACTATGTTAGATGTTTAACTCAGTCAGAAAACGAATTGATCAAAAATAAAATTACAAAATGTAGTTCATATTGTTGCAAGTAACAAAAAATATCTTTTTCGGATTGAATAGGCAAGAACTAAGACATTCATTATGCACGTTTAAAACGGAAACCTGTTAAATGTCGCATCACGGAAACAGTAGGGTTTCTCTGGCTCAATCTCGAGAGTCGAGGAGACTAATTTCGACCTTCAGTACTGCGGTAAGCAGACGTATGAGCTTGACTAATGGTGAGATATTAATTTAAAAAAATAACCTCCATAACCTTTCTTCTATGATTTAATCTCCTGTGCTAACTACTGCGAGTCTCCGAAGCCCACTGGCTTAGAGGTAATAGATTAAAATCCTTCGAATATTGCATTGCCTCTAATGCTTCCAGTGGGCTAGCTGTCTCTCCAATCCATACACTTGTTTATCTATGTTAGACATCAGATATCAGACATCCCTTACCTATCACCTGTTTTCCTATGTTTTAAAAGGAAATTAAATGTGCATATATGCGTGTGTGTATATTAGTTTCATTGATTATTTAGGAGTATTTTTTTTCGTTAAATCTAATTTTAACTTCTCGTGTTCCACAAAATATACCACGCCGCTTACACAAGTTAAGTTACAGCACTAGCAAAATAAGTAAACAAATGTGCAATACCACTGCAAATATAACAAATATTATTAAAAAGTAAATAATTTTTTTAAAACTGAAAATGTTCAGATTCTATTATACGCCCATAGATGCGTTTTTTTAACGTTTTGTGTGTTACCTTTATTTATTAAACATCAGCCGCCCAGTCGGTATAGTGGTTAGCGTCGCTGACTGCCATGCCGAAGGGCCCGGGTTCGAATCCCGGAGAAGGCATGGGTGTTTGTAAATGTATAGTGATTGAGTGAGTGATCGCTACCAAGTCAGACCTCTGACTTGACCTTATCCTCACAGTAATGTGTAAATGTATAATATGGGCGTGGCATGGCAGCACTCTAAATATGCTACCAAAAGTACTCTTCGTTTCTAGTACGAAGAGTACCAAAAGTATTTAGAGTATTTAGAAGAGTACCAAAAGTACTCTTCTAAATATGCTACCAAAAGTACTCCTCTTGGTTTGGTGTAAGGGAAGAGGGGTGGGAGACCCTCAGACCCGTCCATCCGGGGTGTTTTCCAAAACATTTTGCGGCGGAACTGAGCAAAAGCGCACTGTCATCTGTAAGGTGCTCAAGGCTGCTGCCGACGACAGTCATAATCTTGCACTCCTTGCCACCAAGAGGAATTTCGTGGGGTTGGGTTGATATCATTGTCAGGCAAGTGAGCATAAGTAACAACAACAAAATTAAATATCAAGTTCTTCGCCCTTAAACTATATAAAATTCTATTCAACAGCAATATCACAAAATATTTAAAAGAGCATATCCTTAGAATTCCCAATTCTCATAAGAATGGACATAAAGCTGGACATAAGAATGCTTTTTTTCTTTACAGTCTTCTCCCATTGTTGGCTTTGAAATCGTTGAGGTTTTTAATCAAAAATTCGTTAAAAGTTTTACAAAATGTTAAATAGATAATAGAACAATTCGAAATTCAAAATCCGGGCTTACAGGTGCCCATGTTTGGGTGGAGGATTACGTTATTCAAAACTTGCAGGCTTTAGGTACCGTCGTTTCTTCCTAACGGGAGAAACATACCTACATTCATGCACATTCTCCTTTATTTAATTTCTTTTACAATGTTACAGGGGAATAATATTTGGTGCAACAATTTGAAAAGTTATTTACCATTTTACAGTAATTCAATGCAAAATCTCTTTTCGAGACTAATAGCCCTTCTGAACTAACGCTCCTTTGGACTAATAAAAGCAATAAATATATAAAAAATAAGTGAAAGGAAAAATAAAATAAAGAGAACTCAATAATCTAAATTCAACAAGTATTTATTGCATCATTTTTGCTTTTAATGTTATTCCAGGTTTTTATACGCCATAAGTACAATTTGGTAAGTTTCGGTTTACCTACTTTGAGGCCTAAAAATGCTCAAAATATTTTCAAACTTGGACACTAGATAGCGATAGAGGTTAATAATAATAGGCTTAGATAACTTAATTTATACTTAGTAAAAATTAAGTTATCTAAGCTATCTAAATTCCATTGAAATATTAAATTTTCATAAAGCGAGGAACCATCATTTTGCAAAAAATTTTAGTTTTGGTACAGTAACACTTCTAAAATTCTAAAAGTTAATTAAACTATTTATGAGAGCTTTTAACTTTCATATATTTAATTTCATTGCTTTTAAGTGTTTTCATCTCGTCCAAAATTAACGATTATGCATCAGTTATCTTCCCAACATCCCACGTTTTTTTTTCCTTTGTGTATTTCTAAAATCGTACTATCTTAATTTTCTTAAAATTTGTATATCTCCTTCGAATGATAGGAAATTTTATGCGCAAATGTATTTTATCTTTCACTTCGAAATTTCTAGCTGAATAAAAACTACTAGCAGCACGCAGAGTTATACTTAAGCACCGACAACATGGTTACTAATGATTGCATCAAAACTAATTTAATTGCTTCACAGTAAAACAGTTTAAAGCTTTGTATTTGAGCAAGATACGTTTGATAGCTATGAATGATCTGTTGATTATAAATTTAAATATTGCGAAATTTAAATATTGCACAAGGAGAAAGTTCAAATGCATTGAAAATACAATCCTAATGCAATAAATTAAGATTATCTTTGTTTTCTAACGTTTTCTTGCACCAATTTTGTTAGAGTATGAAAATATTACCCATTTGAGACATCCTTGCGAAAACATATTGTTAATCATGATGTAACTCTCAGTAATTGTTGATGAAAATCCACGAAATGATGCTTGGATTTAACTACTTTCTCATTTCATAAAGTAATAAATAACTTTCGCAGCTCTATTTCTTTCTATTCTCTTCCAGGCACAAAATGGTGTGGAGCTGGAGATTTAGCCAAAGATTACGATGATTTAGGCATGAACGAAGACTCTGATCGATGTTGCCGAGCTCATGATCTGTGTAATGACACACTAGCACCAGGAGCTACAAAAAATAATTTGACAAACACTTCACCTTTTACTAAGTAAACATTATTTTGCTACCTTTACTAAAAACTCTGTGTCTGATTTCGTATTGTATTAAATTGTTTGAATTCATAATTACTTGTGAGACTTCCATTTCTGCATGTAATATGCCGACTGACCAGAATCACTCACACACAAAAATATTGGGTGATTGATTTTTTATAGAGGAACTTGCCCCAGAATGCGCATTTAATTTTTTGAATGGATAGTATTGGATGGCATACGCACCAAAAATTTTATTATGACACCTAATGACAATCAGGACCTGAATACCGCCTAGACCCACAAGGCTCAAGTTTTAAGAATTCCGGAAACGTCCTAATCTACTTTGTGTTATTATTTTTTTCCTTTAAAACCAAAGGATAGCGACGCTGAAAACAGGTTTTGCTTGTTATCCAAGAATATCTTAATCAGTCCCTGACGGTAATGCAAATTCTGGAAGAAGAATGAAATAGGTCCGTCTCACGCATTTCAGAATAAAAAGCCAAATACCTTGCAATCTTGGGTGTTAAGTTGAGATCAATGATTGTATAACCCCTAATAATGATGAACCTTTGTATTCAACTAGTAATCATTGCAATGACACAATATGAGTTTAGTTACTACATTGAATGTGTTTATTTCAGCTTACTGTATTGTGCAGTGTTGTATCAGCTTACTTCAATTAATAACTTTGCCTAGCCAACTCATTCATAATTTTAATTTATCCTGTCACTGTTCATTAAGGTTTGCTTCGGTTTATTTATTGTTATGGCAAAGCCCGCATGGAAGGAAAGGGTGCCTTCGTGGAGGACATCTACGGTGAACTGGTTCGTATCCAAGGTAACACATGGGAAAAAACAAGACAAGTCCCACGCAGCCAGCGTTTTCGCCTGGAAATGAGCCTAGGTCAGATTCCCAGCTACTTTGCACTTCTGCTGCTAGTGGTTATTAAGAATGTGCATTACCAGACGAGATGCTCACAAAACTTTACCTCATGTACCTCTTAAATGAGACGTCTAATTAAAAATAAATAAATAAATAAAAACAAAGGAAATACTTTTGGTGTAATTTCCTATAAAGAACTGGCCAGTATATTTGTTGCATAGGTGACTCTGATTTCTCTGGAGATTAGACGAAACGTTGTCTCCAGAATTACTTAACTAGTTGATATCTGTCTGTTTACTTTTGCGAAGCACTTACAACACAAGAATCATTTCATCCTTTCAAAATGTCTTAGCATTATATGACAACTTGACCGAAAACTGTTTCTTGATACTAGGATTTTCGTCTTTCTCTGTGCATCTAATGTCATAGCTAGGCTATTACTTTCATGGTGGCGCAAAAGTCACTGTCAGGCTATTCTGTAATGCTGGAGCTTTTAGATATGAAACACAACCGGTCTTCTCAAATGCACCATTCATATATTATAGAATTCATAAAAAATGTTTCAAACACTCCTCCGTTTTAACTGTTTAAATTAGTACTTTCTTACAGATTGAGCTGTAAGTGTGATGAAGACTTTTACAACTGCCTGGATAGTGTTAATAGCTTCACGTCTAATACAATTGGGAATATGTATTTCAACATACTAAGAAGAGAATGTTACCAAGCAGATTATCCTCTTACTTCAAAATGCAAAACATACAGAACGTAAGTCACTTCTAATGTTGAATTTCACTCACATAAAAACTCGCTTTAAAGCATAAAGCTCATAAACAGCACCCAGAAGCCATGTATTATACATTGATTCTAATTTAAATCTTAATAAACTTATGCTAATTCTAATATATATCAGCTATTATCAAATGAAATTATCTTTCATCTAGAATGCATTATCATTTAAAATGTCAACTGGTTGTTTTAATGTTAGGTTGTCTTTCAATGGTAGAAATTCCGTGTATTTTTTAAGCACTGGAAGTTTTTATAAAAGTGCTTCCTGCATTTTAATAAATTTTTTTAATTGAATTTTTGTGTATTTTTAACTTAGAATGCTTGTAAATTGTTCAGCTCTACAAGAAGCTGGCAAAGAAGGTGAAACATTTGATTTCAGATTTTGGTTCTGATGATAAATGAGTCATGAATGATAAGTTACCATGATTCATTTTTCTCTGATTTCACGACAAGCACGTAACAGAAATAGATTATTGTGTAATTATTGAAACTTCGGCGAAAACGTTTTGATACCATCATGCAGTAAATCTTCATATAGATGAAAATTCAGCACTACCCTCGAAAGTATGACAAGAATTAATTTATAAAGAAATACCTACAACATACTTTAAAATTTGGTCATTCTTTCGTAGTTCTCAGCATTACGAGAATACAGTTATATTTATTAGTGGTAAGTTTTACTCTAGTATTTAGTATTAGAGGTAAGTTCGATTTCAGTAGTTTTGAAATAGAAAAATATTAATAACTTCATTTATGTTTTCTCAAATTTGAAAATATCAGTTGAGTTTAGAACTAAAAATTAAACTCAAATGCTTAAATAAATTCTGTTCAAACCTTCAGACAGACTTTAATGTATTCTATGTCCAGCTATAGTTTCCACTTTGGTGCATATACAGGGTAATTCAAAACTAGAGAAATAACTCCTAGTAGGGGTTAGGTATACTTAGAGGACTCGAATTCATATTACAGTACTGGGTCGAAAATACAATCCTAACGAGATAGGAAGTGGATGGTCGGAAATTTGAGCATTTGTTATAAAACCGAAAGTGCACATGTATTCTAAATTATCACTAAATAAAGAGTTTTTAGATCCATTATTCGTTTGTCATTCCTGCACTTTGTTTATCCTACAGCTGATCAGATATAGTAGGAAAATAGTTAGTAGGAATTCGTCGTTATCGTACCATAAAAATAAGTCCTAACTTTCCTGATCATGAAGGTCCCCGACATTTCTTAACATAGAGTAAGGCACGAAATCTCGGACATTTTGAAATGCACTGGGCGTTTTGAAATGGCGCATCTTAATGGCTACCGCGAAGAATAGCTGCAAAAAGTAGCCATTAATAGGAAAAACAATTTTCTTTCCTATAAATATCAATGTACTGATATGAATATTTTAATAAATTATATTTTAATTAATATGTAAATATTAGAAAATAAAATCCTAACTTTTATTTTTTAATCCAAGCTCATTTTGAACTTATTACTATTTTGAGGAGAGTAAAGAGTAAAAATCAAAGTAAATTTTTGGGATAGAAAGGGGAAATAATCAAATTAAATCCTATTAAAATTTGCTGTTTACTCTTTCTGTCCTAAAAAAAGTAACATACTTCTAATAAATCCGTCTATATTGCATCATTTCAAACTTTAGCACTGTTATATGATTCTTACACAACGCTCATGAGAGGAAAGATCTTCTAATCAATTATGGTATTAAGTTTTGCGAAACGAAACTTTAATTAACCTATAGAGAAAGTGGAACTGTGACTTCATCTATATAGTAATTTATGCATTATTTTCTCTGCTTTTTTGTTCTGCCGAAATATCGCCATTTATCTTTCTTACATCAAATATATTGCTTTAAAAATGAAAAAAGTATTATTGTAACTTTTAAAAAACTTGCGCGCAGATTGAGCTTATTTAGCTAAGTTTATAAAAAAAAATTATAAAAAATAAAAAACTGTCGAATCAGCTATGCTAGCTGTTGCATTTTTTGCAGACCTTTTAAGCTACTACATCTAACATCAAAATTTGTATTACCTATATGTAAGTAAAATGGCTATTTTTTCACAAATATATTTAATCGTGATAATGAAATGGAATATCCAAATCAGTTTTCATTTCTTTTAAATTTCCTGCATTTTAACATATACCTATATGTAGTTGACTTTGTGAATTCTGAAAAAGAAATTCCTAAGAGATAGGATTTTTTCAAATCTCGAAAAATAAAACCTACTTAAGTATCCTGTCCTACTACCCCGTTAGTTCAAGTAACATTTTCCGGATATTGATTTTGAAATATTCTAGTTCTAATTCAGTATATTCGTTTTAGATTTTTCAAGCTCTCGTGCAAAGAATATGAGAGAGACACGAGCGCTCCCATGGTTTATCAGTGGGTATCCGCTAAAAGATACAAGAAGATACCATTGCCAGGACCTCTCAGCATATCTTTGCCTTTTAAGTAGAAGCTTTCAAAGCAAAGGATGAAAGGATATATGAACCTTTAGGGTTCTTCTTGCAATATATTTATGGCCATGCAACTCATATGCATGATGAACAAGTTATGTAAATATGACATATGTTATTAATGTAAATTATCTGTTGTTAAGCACTTTTTGTCTAAAATTAAAAATAATGCACTTATCTGTCTTGCAGTATCTTGTATACGATTCCAGCGTTATGATAAATAACAACAAAACTGTCAAAAGAACCGTTCAATTCTACAGTATTCAAATATGATCTGTTGTACTAAGATACTTTATGCTAAAACGAATTAATTCTTTCATTTCTCATTCAATATTAATTTTTCATTTCATTCATAAACTGATGCATACAACTTTTGGAGTCAAAATAAAATATGTGAGTACTTAGATAAGTATACAGTGGAACTACGAGATACGAGCACCTCAATATACAAGAAATTCGAAATACAAGGAAAGTATGAGGGGAAAATTCGTCTCTAAATACGAGCATTGACTCGAATAACGAGCAAGGAGACAGGCTTTTGGTATGCATGGCGCGTTTTTCGATCCGGCTTCGACTCGGGGAATCCCATTGTCAGATCATTCAGTGTTCTTTGATCTACGTGTTTGTGCATTTTTGATTTAATTGTTTTTTACATTTAATGGGAAAATAATTATTTCACGATGCCTCTCAAGAAGATTGTTGCCTCAGATAATGTTGCAAAGAAAACGAAGCAAACCATGGCCGTAGAAATTAAGGAAGAAATCATAGATAAATATAAGGGTAATGTAAGAGTGACGGAATTGGCGAAGACTTACGGCCGTTCGACATCGATGATGTGCACTATTCTGAAGAAGAAGGAAGAAACTAACAAACTTGATGTTGATGTGGCCAAAGGAGTTACCGTTACTTCCAAAAACCGTTTAAAACTCCTCGAAGATGTTGAGGAGCTGTTGTTGGTGTGGATTAACGAGAAACAGTTAAAAGGCGATTCGATGTAGGAAGCTATCATTTGCGCTAAGGCTAAGAATCTGTACTTGGACCTTCTCCGGAAAACACCAGGTACGTCGGCTGAAGATGAGATGGCAATGAGATTTGTGGGAGTGCGGAACGGATTAACTGGATTTCCATTATTTTCAAAGGGGAAGTTTGTTTCTAGATACCAGAAATTCGCTATATGAGGTCAATGCTGGAACAAATTAAACTCGTATCTTGAGGTTCCACTGTATATTTATTAAATTAGGTTATAAACACATTTATTTTCAATTGATGTTTGTTCACAATTTATAATGATGCAATAAATAACTTTTAAAAATACAAGGATATATATGCACTTTTTATCACTATGAGCTTGTTTAACGAGGCTAAAAAGCCAGGAGAAAACTATATCCTGTTTTAAAAGTGAATTCAGAGAAGTTCCACAAAATCTTATGTCTAGGTATATACTGCAGGTTTGTGCAGTGCAAATGATATATGTTTTCTACGGTTTAAACATTACGCTTTTTATGGATTAAATGTTGTAATACAACTGTGGTAGAAAGAAGAAATGATCAAAACCGTAACTTATTTTATTGCAAGTGACAGGTAACAAATTGAAGAAATGCATCCGATTGAAAGTAGTAAAAAACTTTGTATGTAATCAGTAAGTATGTAAACAATGTATGTAATCAGTAAGCAGTCAGTACCTTAAGGTAAAAGTATAAATAAATAGTTCGATCTATCTTTCTCTCTTTTAATAATAGATTGCAAATTTAATGAAATATTGAGGAAATAATTTCGATAAAGTAGTCTACCTGCATAAAAAGAGGGATACTTCAGTGGAGGCGAAATTATTTACGAGTACTTCGTCCTGAATATTATGAATAGAATTATTTTGTAAACAATGTACAAGTAATTGGAAATAATTGTGCTCGCTTAAAAGGCGTACACAATTTTAAAATAATTTCCTACAAATTAGATACGTATAAATTGACGACTTAAAATCTACAGATGCAAAGATTTTATGATCGGATTTTAATGAAACTTGGTAAATGCATTATATAGACTATAAGGAAAAGATTTCTGTAATAAAATTAGTTCAAAATTTGATCACGAGATAACAATTTTAAAAAATTCCTTATGAAAATTAGTCAAACCTATACAGAGACTTGCAGGCAGAGCCAGAAAATTATTCTGTGTGCATTTTCCATCGTAAATCATGCCCTTACAGAAGAAATATCGAGCTTTACTGGTACAACTGTTTTATCAGTACGGCAGCAATAGGTTAGTAGCATTTCCTGAATATTGACGTTTAAAGCGATTACGAAAGGGGCCCATGTCGAAGAATAGTTTGAGAAAATTATTATGATTTTTTATGCAGAAATCGTTTCCCCATTGTCCACATAACATATATACCAAATTTCATCAAAATTCAATAAGTAGAACAGGTTCTAGAGGGGTCTGAATAGAGTAACTTTAATTATAGCCTCCCCTGTATGTTTGAAAGTGCAGCACTGTCTTGGCGAACTTTCCTAAATTTCTGAATACTATTCGAAAAGCTCTGAGTTTCGATATCAAAAACCTCATATTCTGCATTTTTTCTGGATCATTCGGAGGTATTTAGCAGGCAATTTGAAATGAAATCCTTCCTGTTAAGGAAGAGTATCAGTTGTAATTTCTTTTCAATCTAATATGGAACTTAATTTAATAGGTAAATTTGGTAGACCTTCCTTATAAGATAACCGCCCTCGATTTCAGAAGTTTCTAGTCTTCCGTACAGGTGACTGGTTTAAAGAACATTACTAAATCGGTTGTTGATCTACATCGACTTGAATGATGATTTCGGCATACTGAAACTTTCTGACTTTCTGTTAAAGAAACGCACAGCAATAATTTTTTAATACTATCATACTTTTAATTTCCTAATAGTTATTTTTATTTTTGAAACGCTTTCTTTTAATTCCTTATTTACTACCTACAATTGCCTGCCAGAACGCGTTTTCAGGATCGCGTTATGAGGTAGAGCCAGTATTTAAATTGAAGTCTTGGTAAGTTCAGTAGAAATCATCGTTTTATTCAATCGGAGTGACTCCTTCAAGTTCCTACACATGGACCCTAATTTTGTGAACATTTTAAGGGGTCATAGTGCGTATTCAGTGCCCTTGTTCCTTACTTTTCTCGACATTTTCTGATTTACAGTGCTTCAGCCAGCACGGCACAGCCTACCAATGAGCACGCAGGACTTCTGTTCGGAAGATCTTTTCATCTAATCCATTTTCCGTAGCGACTCCTGCCTAGCTCCATCATACGGACTTAATTTTTATGATCACTTTGAATTGTCATAGCGTATATATTATAAATATTTTCTTTTATTGTCTTCATATGCACTTTTATTGTTTTCATATGCAGAGTGTATTCATGAGGCACTTGGCAAGCTTCACCCACTTCTCTTGATTCATCCACGTATTTGTTCAACCTAGATGCGAAGTGCATTCGTATTTTTCTCCCCTGATATTTGCCTCATCAGGAGAATCTTATCTGCGGATTTCAACATCAGTCATGCCCATTTCGGGACTCAATCATGAATAGGCAAGAGCAGAACCTTTTTTCCCTGTTGAGTGCCAGTATACTTACGAAGTATCAAAGTGTACTTCAGTAGAAGAGTTTAGTTCTTAGTAGAGCATGTTCTGCCTTCAGGCCACGTTATTGCTTTAAGCTTACTAGATGTTAGTATTCGCCTATGATTTTCAGTAACGGCCAACTCTTTTATCTAATTATTTCTGAGCTGAGTTGCTCAGAAATAATTATACTCTAATTATTTCTGAGCAACTTCAGCTAGTTTTAGTTCAGTTAGGATTAGATTAGTTTCTCATTTTCTGTCTTAAGTTAAAACCCAAGTGGAGACTTCCTGTAAGCCTGAGTAGGGCCATCTATGAATCATACTTGAGTTGAATACTCCTGGAATTTTTCTTTGTTCTATATTATTTTAGATGAGCTTCCATTCTCCCTCCAGAGTTTTGCCAGACATTTTTGAATCTCCTGTACATCTATTGTGCCTAAAAACCGAACATTAATGGTTGTATTTATTACTTAAATTGGTGTTATTTGCCACCCCTGAACTTCCGAACATTTTTATTTTCTACTGATCAAATTTAAAACAAAAGCAATACTCAGCCCAAAGGTGTAATCTAAATTCACATAATTATTATTTATGTAGAGTCAAGTAAAATAAGGATAATATATAGCTTTTTTTAAAAAAGGAATTTTGTATTGGCATTAAAACTGATTTTCCTTGTTAAATACCAATCTTATATTGCATTTGCAGTAGCATAAAATTAGCATATACTTCCTCATGCTAATTTTACTTTTGTCACTCTAAGTAAGGAACTGATACTGATGGAAAACGTAAAAATTTGTAACACAGTAGCAATGGTTATACGTGTTTCAGATTTTGTCATATAAAATTAGGCGACTTATGAAATGCAGAACTTATTTTCATATTTGTATATAGTTTGTAGTCGTACCATATATCTCAAATAGCCAAAGATCAACTGTAATTTAGCTTTAATAAAAAAAGTAAAGAAGGTAGGTAAAGGATTTCTCCTTTTTTTTATACAATTTTTCTCTATTTTTGAAGTGGATTATGGCAAAGCACTCGAGCGCCAGCTTCCTAAGAACAGGAATGTCGTCGTGAAGGGCTTTAAGGGAAACGGGATATGGCCCGGGTCGAATTACCAACGTTCAGCGATTTTGCCGCTCAACCGTAGATAAGGCTGAATAAATAATAAAAGGTCTTTTTATCATCTCGACAGGAATGAGTTACATATGCAAATAAAATACATATAAAGCTGTATTATATTTTGATTGACAGCAACTTTGTAATAATCTGCTTAAAGCTCAAGGGGGGGGGGAATAAATAAAACTAGATTTTCTATTTTTATTTCTTTTAAAGGGCTTTAAATTAGTGAAAGGCTTTATGCAAAAGTATATCTGTTCTGAGGGCAATTGATATAACTACTTTCCGACAGGGAAAAAAAGACGAAGGCACATTAAAGAGAATGTCCTCGCCCTCTGGGAAATTAAAAAAAAATATATAAATAAAAAAATAAAAAGGAGTCTAGTCAGTTGCTTCAAAAGACATAAATTTTTATATAAAATCTATGTCAATTCGAAATCTTCCACTTTATTTTTAATATATCATTTTAT